TTTTTTTTTAAATATAAACAATATAAAAATAAAATTAAAATTTCATAGTAAAAAAAATAAAATAATTGTTGAGTCATAAAAAGAGGAGGGATAAGAGTAACAAATTCAAGGGAAGGAGAGAGTTCGCAGTTTTTATGCTGAGAGGGTTCTTCTCCAAACTAAGATCCATTTTCATTTCATTCTACTCACAGAAACCCTAACAAATTCATCTTATATATATATATATATATTGTAGAGATTATGATATCAATTTCATCTTTCACCTTTTTCTTTTCTTGACGGGTGTTATAAAAAAAATTACAACTTAAAAGTTAAAATTTCAAGCATTTTTTATATTATATAAAGGAACAAATTCAACTACATAGAATAAAATAAACCAAGTCAATTAAAAAGAACGAACAGAAAAATAGAGCAAGTCAATGACACTATCTTTTACATATCGGAGTTTCACAAAATAGGGGAATGAGATGAGAACAGTATTACAATATTATATATGAGCAATGAACAATAGTACAGTATTATTAGCAGAGACAAAATGGAGAAAACAAAAGCATAGAAAAAAAAGATAAAAAACTCACTTGAAAATTCTTGAAAAGTCACTTTAAACAATCCTTCAATATCCAATAGGTTTGGATGGGATTGTTTTATGAATTTGGTATTTATAGATAACACTAGAAAGTCCTTCAAAATCCCTCTCACACAACAATCCTTTAAAATTCTTATATTTTTGAATATCAATGGATTGTTTTTAAGTTATAAAAAATCTCAAATGAATACCAATGGATTTTAATGGACTCTTTAAAAAATCTTGAAAATCCAGATTGAATACCACTGGATTGTTTTTAAGTGACATAAAATCCTGATTGAATACCAATAGACTTTTTTACTCAAAAAAAGTCTTTTAAAATCCTACGAAATCCTAAACCAATACACCCCCCTAAATGTTGGTCATTTTTTATAATTTTTAATTTGTATAACATATTATATCAAAAATGAAAATTTTATGTAAATATTTAATTGTGGCCGAATGGCGGTGATATTTATTATATTTATAGTTTATATTATGTATTAAATCATAAACTAATGGTTTATTTTATATATAATGCAATTGTATATTTACTTAGAAAAATTAATTATTTATTACATCATCTTATTTATTAATATAATATAAATAATGTAATTACTTTATTATTTTATTATATAAAAATACAGTTGACATTTATTAAAATATTTTTAACTTTCTATAAAAAGTAAAAATTGTATTTTCATAACATTAATATTCATATTTATTATTTAGACGTGATATTAAATAAAATGTTGTAGTAAGTAAATATTTTTTTAACAAATTATTTTTAAATTTATTTAAAAACTTTAAAATAATAAATAAATCTCTAAAAATATATAGATATAAATTTTTTAAAATATAATACATTTTTATTTATATTATTTATTAATAATGACATCATTTTTCATTAATATTAACATAGAAAATAATACTTATATATGATTTTAATTACATTTTACTAAACTTCTACTATTTAATAAATTTTATATAACTTTTATTTATTTTCATAATTTTATGAAGATTTTAAATTTTTTTATAGCAATTTTGAATATTTTAATCACACATCTTATTTTAAAATAGTTTCTAATTTTTAAGATTAATTATGTCTTTTTATTTTAAAATTATATTTAGTTTTCTTTTAACTATTCATTTTCTTTTATTTAAAATCTTCAACTTCATATTCATATATATATATATATAATATTTACAAAAATAAATTTATTTATTTATTTTAATATTTTTACCCTATAATTAGCTATTGAAACATTAAACTTCACTTAAATTACAAAAAAAAAAACAAAAAAAAACTCAAAATTTTCACCATTAACCTAATTTTAATCACATTGCAACAAAGCAAATTTGAAATATTTATTAATTATTTCAAATATGTTTAATTGTAGGGTGTGTTTGATAGAGAGGGAAGAAATAGATGAAAAATAGATAGAAGAGAAAAATAGGAGAATGAGAATAAATAAGGAATAAAATAAAAATTTGATTATTTGATTAAAAAAAAATAGGTGATAAATTATATTATATAAATGTTTAATAAGTTAGAAAGAAATATGTCATAAATAAAATATATATAAAAAACAGAAGGAACAATAAATAAATATATATATATATAAATAATAGAATCAAAAATCTTTTGAAATAAAATAAATGAATAGTTAAAAAGCAAATAAATAATTTTAAAAAATTACTTTTGAGAAAGAAAAATAATTACAATCGTGTTTTTAAATTAAAAAATAAAATAATCAGGACTTTGGCAATACGGATATAATTGAACACGAGTTCTGGCATTTACACCTCTATTCAATGTACGTGCTTTTTTATCAACTTTGTGATGCTCAATTCAATGTTTTCAATACGGACAGCAACTGCGAAAACGATAGGGTTGCCTTTTTCCTACGATGCACGCACGCTCCACAGTACTGTGATGGTTTCGTTCAGTTTAGAAGTTTACGATTTGGGTTTGGGTTTGGAGAAAGACGAAAAGAAAATCACATTTTGGATGATACACCAACAATTATTTATATAATTTTATTATTTCATGGATTATTTAGAAACTAATGAGAATAATACTTACATAATGAATGTAATGTTTATTCTAATATTTTCTACAATCAGAAGACAAATAAAAAAAAATGGTGGAATAAATAAATATTAGGATGAATATATCTATACCATAAGAGATGCCCCCCTTCACTAACTATATTTTACCCTCCATTTTTATATACATCATTTTATCCTCTTTTATTTTATTCATAAATTTAAATTATTTTTTCTTTTTTAATGTTTTTCTTGTCTTAATTTTTTACCCTCTTTAAATAACTGCTCATCTGCTCATGTTTTTTTTTTTATTCGTCCCTGGAGTATTCACTGCCGATAGTAGTGACTAATCTCCTCGCTACGTTGGAGGCACCTCAAAGGATGGGATAGCTGGCCCCAAGATTTAACGCGGCTGCGTACACAAGGCAGGATTCGAACCCCGACTTTGCTTAAGCGTGGATCAACCCCTACCGCTGAACCAC